CAGTGGCTTTGGTAAGCGTACGGGAGATTAATGATTTTCTTTGCGATTATTGAGAGCCGCTGTTTGCGAGCAGAGATGTTGTTGGGAGTCGCGAGTTCATCACTCATCTCTTTTAAAGCTCGTGGTGGGGGGGGAAGAAGAAGAAGAGTCGGGGCGAGATGTGGTGAGGAGAGCAAGAGAGTGGGGGGGGCACGGTTCGTGGAGAGCTAGCAGCGGGGAGGCGGAGGAGGCGGCGGCGGCGGCGGCGGCGGCGGCGGCGGCGGAGGCGGAGGCGGATGAGGTGGTAGGTGGAGGAGGAGGTGGAGGCGGAGGAGGCAGAGGCGACGGCGGGGGCAGCTGCTGGCGTCGAGCACGGGTGTATTCGCATGCACACAGTTGGCCTTATGCGTGTGCGTGTGCGTGTGCATGTGCATGTGCATGTGCGTGTGCATGTGCATGTGCATGTGCATGTGCGTGTGCGTGTGCATGTGCATGTGCATGTGCATGTGCATGTGCATGTGCTTGTGCATGTGCGTGTGCATGTGCATGTGCGGAGTATGGGTGTGACGCACCGACGATCCGAAGGGGCGCACATACCAGTACAGCGTGTACATGTGCAGCAGGGCGGCGATCTTGTCGCTGAGCATATTCCCTGCGGCGGCCCGGGGGGAGGAGGGATTGTGTGTGGGGGGGGAGGGGGAGGGGAGAGGGGTAAGAGCGGAGAGACAGGGGAGAGAGGGGGGAGGCGGGAGAACGGGAGAGGGGGGGGGGGGAGGGGGACGTGGGAGAGAAAGTGGATGGGGCACACGCGCCCGGAATCTGCCCGCCGTACACGGCCGTGTGGTTCGCCGACTCCGCTCGCGCCGCATTCACAATCTGCGGGCGGGTGCGCCGTGGAGGAGCGGTGGCGGTGCGGCGGGGCGAGCGGTGGCGGTGCGGCGGGGTGAGCGCAGGGGGGTGCGCGGCTCGAGGCGCGAGGGCGGCCAGCGAGATGCGAGCGGCGGCGCAGATGCGCGAGCGAGCGAGCGGCGGCGACGGCAACGGCGGCGAGGAGGTGGCGGAACAGGGCGGCGGCGGTGGCGCGCGGCCAGCGCGCCTGCCTCGCGTCGGCCATCATCCCTGAGACCGCGATGCCCGTGCACTTGTCCACCGTGTAGATGCGCCGGTTCGAACCAGGCAGCATCATCTTGGACAGCTTTTGCTTCTCGACGCCCAGCACGACGCCGTCCTTGCAGCGGATGCCAATCGCGGTGCCCGAGTTCTCGACCGCCTTGGCGGCGTACTCAATCTGGAACACGCGGCCGTCAGGCGAGAATGTGGTGGTCGACTGATCATAGCCCGTTCCGATGGAGGACATCGCCGAGCAGTTTTGCCGCGAGGTTGGTCGACGAGGGACGCCGGGGCAGCAGCACCAGAGTCGGGCTCCAGAAAAGCGCCGAGAAGAAAACGGGCCGGGCCCGATACATAACTAGCGCATCACACTCTCCTCTCCTTAAAATCCCTGTGTGGTGGCGGCGTGCCGTTCTCCCATCCCTCCCTTGCCTGTGTCTTTTCTTTCTTTACATAACGGTGTGGGGGCGCGGAGGGCTTGTTTGCGAGCGTTATTTCCGAGGCGCTGCGCTAGGCTCAGAGCGAGTTCGCGCTGCCCTAGGCTCCAGAGACAGGCGAGAAGAAAACGTTGGCTAAAAGGAAAAAATATTAAAGACTTCGCGGAATGGCGGACGCCCTCGTTCAGCTCACCCGACGTCGCCCAGCAGGCCAGCTTCGGCTCTGTGGCATCCACGGCGCGTGGCCGGCCGAGTTTCTACCACAGGCACGTCGCCCTGGCCTCTCTGCCATCTTCCTGCTGCCCTCGAGCTCGCCGGCCAGCTTCGCACACCGTAGGCTGGCCGGCAAGACGCAGGCGCGGCACAGCTTACGAGATGTGTGCAGAGGTATTAGCGCCCTCTGACGATGGTACAGTTATCTTGCAATGCCCACGCTGACCAAAGCCGAGCGTAATGCTGCTCAAGCACGCGACCCCGCCCGCGTTCCCGGGCCAGGTGAGGCACGTGCTCCAGCCGGGCCAGTGGCTGCTGCGCACCGACGCCTGCCGCCAATCGTGGGCATTCTCGTGCGCACCTCTGCGTACTGAGGACCTCACCTCAGCAGCTAGCCATGACACGCCTGCGGCTGTGCGCGGCGTGCGATGGCTCGCCTTCTTTTCGGATGCGGAGGAGGCCGACGATCCTCCGTTTCACTTCGTCGACATGCGTCACCGCGTGGTTGAGCCAGATGCGCCGCCCCGGAGGCCGACTAAACCAATACGAGGCTAAACCCGATAGGTGTTCTCTTCCCATTCTCTTTCCCATTGGCTGTCGACAGTGTACTTGACAGTGTCATCTCGCGTTTTCAGACCGTGCACAGACTGCAGTGTGTAGCGTGTTCTTTGTGCACAGTCATACTACACGTTTTAGACGAATTGACGACTATCTGCTGTGAGAGTTAGGCCGTCATTACGAAGCCCCGGTTGGCAAAACCTGCGGCATCGGCCGGCAGCCGTCACAGGGCGCGAGGCCGAGCACCTGAGACGCTGCGAGGGGTCCCTCTCTTCCCTCACGCCAAACCTGCTCCCGCGCTACGGTACATCGCCACCTGGTTGAAATATGCCGGCACGGCCTGCCGCCACACCCCCAGCCGCACCGCCTCTGCCGCCGCCGAGGCCGCTCGGGCAGTGGTGACTGCCAAGGCATAGCGTGCCTCCTCCGCCCGGGCCTCGGCCTCGGCTGCGGCTGCCTCCGCCCTGAGAGCCGCTACTTGTTCGCGGGCCAGCCAAGCCACGTCCTGCGCCTCGCTCGCCCACGCGTAGGACACCGGCGCCCCCACCGCCGTGGCGAAGGTGCCAGCCATCACGACGCTGCGGCTGCTCGAGCGGATCTTTTCCGAAAGAACGTGCCTCTTTGCAATGCTCCCATGCAGATGGCAATGGCGCCCCGCCGCGCGCCGGCCGGCCGCCGCACGAGGCTTGTCCCGGAGGCCGCAGGCGTTGCACAGCGTCTTGTTGCACCGCCACCTTGGGGTATCGGTGGTGCCGCAGCGTACGCAGAAGCGAGGGCCGGCGGATCGGGCCAAATACGCCCCGTTGATCTGGTGCGCTTCTCCGAAGCTGGCTGGTTCCCCCTCTGCCCTCGGCAGGCTCGTATTTTGAGCAGGCTCCGCCACAAGCTGCCGCCCGTGGAACCCAACATGCTGGAACACTTGTGGCACTCGGCGGCCCGATTTTAGCGAAAGGCAGATACTTCATCGCGTGTGGTCGTCGAAAAACCGCCTGTTCGCCCGTTTTGGACCCCTTCGTACCAACGGCTCCGAAAAACCGCTCGCCTCCTTAACGACGACTACGAGGCCCGGCGGTCCATCTGCGCCTTCTCAGCGGCGGGGGGGATGTGGACGGTACGTGCGGACCGCGTGGTGCTGCGATGGTTTGACGAGTGCGACTCTCAGCGTCGACTTTGCGACCCCACCCGGAGCCTCTGCTGCTCCGAGGGGTGGGGGGTCTGCAGACCGACCCGGCCGAACTTCAGAGTGGCGGTGCTCCTCAAATACCGTTCAAACGCCCACGATGTTGTGGAGGGGAGATATGCTGATGATCCTGGCCCGATTGGTTCGCTCAGAAAGCTTCTGGTGGTCGTTTCGTCGTTAAGAGGCTCACGGCGCTCAGTGCATCACACCGACCGCGCGGACCGCCAGGGTAAAGCCGTACGTGCGTACGTCAGTACCCTAGAAGTGTTACTAATAGAGAGCACCAGAATGACGCTTATCAAAAACGAATATAGTAAAGTACCGAGGGCAAACGAGTCAGCGCAGTATGTGTGTATGTGAAGAGAGGCCTGGTCCGTGCGGGTCGTGGCGAGAGAAGCGGCTGCCGGCAGCGGGCCAGGGGCTGAGGGCTGTAGCCTGCAATCAAACGGCCGGCACGACGCGACGACGATACACAAACATGTGCGGCAGCGCCGCAAGAGCCCTTGAGCCCTTGAGCAAAAGAAAATGCCTCGCGACCGCACGCGAGCCACGGCCGCTGTCAGCGCGAGAGCTTGACGCCCGAGTGGACCGCCACGACGCCGCCGGTGAGGTTGCTGTGGCTCACGAAGCGGAAGCCGGCATCGCGCGCCAAGTTCGAGAGCTCCTCCTGCGTGTGGAACTTTTGGATGCTCTCGACGAGGTACTGGTACGACGCGCGGTCGTCGGCCACCAGCCTGCGTGATGAGTTCAGAAGTCAGCAGTAGTGTCGGTTTGGGGCCGTCGGCGACCGATCTGGCTGCTTAACCGGAACCACTCCTCGTACTGCGGGATTGATTCAGCTGGTTGGTACCCGCCTCGTGGTGCTCGCACTAGTCTCGGCTAACTCTCGCCCTCCGACTGCGGGGATGACGTCGAAGGAGTACCTAGGGTTAGGGTTAGGGTCAGGGTTAGGGTTGGGGTAAGGGTTAGGGTTAGGGTTTAGGGTTGGGGTAAGGGTTAGGGTTAGGGTTAGGGTTGGGGTTGGGGTAAGGGTTAGGGTTAGGGTTAGGGATTAGGGTTAGGGATAGGGTTGGGGTAAGGGTTAGGGTAAGGGTTAGGGTAAGGGTTAGGGTAAGGGTTAGGGTTAGGGTTTAGGGTTGGGGTAAGGGTTAGGGTTGGGGTTAGGGTTAGGGTTAGGGAGGGAGGGTCAGGGTTAGAGTGCCGCTCGTAGAGGCGCGCGAGGAGGGGGTTGGTGACGTGAGAAAACTCGAGACAGAGGAAGCGCCCGCCCGGCCGCAGCACGCGATGGGCCTGAGGTGTGAGTAGGAGGGGTGTGAAGAGGAGGGGTGCGGTGAGAGAGAGGTGTGGAGAGAGAGGTGTGAAGAGGCGCAGAGGTGTGGAGAGGAGAGGTGTGGAGAGAGAGAGGTGTGGTAGAGGCGAGAGCGCCTCGCTCAGCGCCTTCTCGATGTGCGTCACCTATGGTATATTATTACATATTATTATTATATATTACATTGTTATTGCCTTCTCGATGTGCGTCACCTATTGACAGCTTCTCCATCAGAGTGTAGTGTTGTTCATGTCTCAACAATGCCTTGTCGAGGAGCGTCACCTAAAAGAAATGGTCCTCCTCAGAGCATTGAGATTACCTAAACAAGCATTGACATGAACGAAACACGTTTCGGATCCCAAAGGCAATCGTGTACACATCAAACGCGCAGTCGTCGAACGGCAGCTGCTCCGCCGACCCAACGACCTAGCCGAGATATGGCCGAGATGCGGCACTGCTCTGCCGACCCAACCACCCAATGCATCCGCGGCCATATCTCGGCCATATCTCGGCCATATCTCGGCCATATCTCGGCCCAACCACCCAGTCCATCCGCGGTCGCAGCGAGGCCGCGCCGCCGTCGAGCGCGCGCCTGGAAAGCACAAATGAACTCCTAAACACGAACTACGAGGGGAGAAGAAATCCTAGGCGCGCCGAGCGCGCGCCTACAAAAGAAAGACCCCGTTGCGAAAAAGAGATGCGGCCGTACGGAAAAAACGACTCGGGCGCTCAGCGCGCGCCGCCGCCCCTCCTCGAGCATCGACTTGTTGATGTCGCACACCACCACCCTCGGCTCCTCGACCCCTCCTCCTCCCCCTCCTCCTCCTCCTCCGCCGCCGCCGCTTCCGCCGCTTCCGCCGCCTGGCAAAAGAGAGCAGAGAGAGCTGCGGAGAGAGCGAGGGCCGTGTGGCCCTGCGGCTCGGTGGGTGCGGCGGCTAGGCGCGCGGCGCGTCGATGCTGCGATGGAGCGTGCTGTCTCACGGCGGGCGGTGCCGGCGGGGTTGGCCCGCCTGACGCGGCGAGCGCGCCCATCTGGTCGGCGATCCGGAAGGCGATGTCACCCGTGCCGCCGGCGACATCGAGCACCTGCAGGTCGGGCTTGCGCATGCCGCCGAGCCCGATCATCCCCACCACCGTGTCTTTCCAGATGCGGTGCATGCCCGCCGACATCAGGTCGTTCATCAGGTCATAGTTTGAGGCGACTGAGTGGAAGACGTTTCCGACGAGGCGCTCCTTCTCGTCCTCGTCGACGGCCTTGAAGCCAAACTCACTCGCGCGCGAGGTGGCACGCGAGTGCGCGTCCGATGACAGGAGGCGGCCAAGCAGCATAGGCGCTGGCCTCCTCGCCGAGCCTGAGACCATCGCCGACGCGCGTAACATGTGGAAGGCTGAAGTCGAGCGGAAAAAAAAGGCGGGGGCTTCCACACCAGACGCGTTGGTGTCGCGTGTCTGTCCTCGACCCAGCCCTAGCTTGGGATGTCCGTTGTATTTATTTATTTATTTGGTGTCGCAGCAAGAAGCGGCGAGAGACTGCGAAAAGAGATACGAAGAGGCAGACTCCCCAGGGTGGGCGACGGCTAGCGCATCACACTCCTCTCCTTAAAATCCCTGTGTGGTGGCGGCGTGCCGTTCTCCCATCCCTCCCTTGGGGTGTCTGTTTTCTTTCTTTCTTTCTTTGGTGTTTCTTTGTCACCGAAACGGCGGGCGTTCCTCCATGGCGGCTGCCTCCTGCGGCGGCCACCATGGTGGCCGACCTGGAGCTCCTCAGCGGCCGCAGCCGCTCGTGGCCGCTGCCGAAGGCACCGGTCGCAGGAGCTTCAGCTCGGTACACGCGCTGCCGGCCGGTGGGCCATGCTTTGTTGGACGACGCGCTGGTGCTCTATGTTCTCACCCAAACACTCTATCACACCCTTGCCTCCCTGCCAGAGCGAGCTAGATTCTCCCCGCCTCCCTCCCGCCTCTGCCGCGCGCCTTCTATGGACGTCAAGTGCAGCACCTAGGGGGAGAGAGGGGGTTTGCCCTGGTAGGGAGGTGGCGAGGCCGCGCACTGCAAACCCAGTGTGAGGAGTGGGGGAGCTGGGACAGGGCGTGTGCGCCTCTGATCTGTCATGGTCTAGTGGCCGATAGGATCCTCCCTTAGGCAGCGATGGCGGGTCGGGAGAGGCCCGAGTTCTCAGCCCGCCACTTACTGTCAGCCTCTCTGACTGCCCAGGGTCTCACCACGATGCCGCCCGAGTAGAGGGGGTAAGGTGTGTAGAGTGCGGCTGTGTATGGAACCTCTCTCTCCGTGGATCCCACCTGAGCCCACTCGCGGTGCGAAGGCTCCTAATGCGGCAACTGAGCCCGCAAGGGTGGGTCACTAAGGGGGAGGTTACGTTGGTTGATATGTTGTGTTGTGGCGTAAAGCTGTGCAGCGGCGCAGCGAGCCCTGCCGCGGCTAGTCGTCGAGACTGGTCGGTGGGTGGTGCCTGTAACAGCTGAGGCAGGGAGACTGCCTGTGAGTAGCGCAGCCGCGCGGTCGCCCGAGGAGTTGGGATGCCCCCCCCCCGCCCCGCCCCCCCGTCCGCCCCAATCCCGCTAGGAGCAGTATACGCACCCCCCACTGCTTCCCGCAGGCGAGAAGGGACTCAACTCAAAACAATGGGCTCGCCCATACCGGAGTGGTTCGACTCCACGCAAACCCGGAGTGGTGAAGGGCTGGCCGTGCGGTGGTCTCGCCCTCGCCGCCGACGGAGCCGCCTGGAGCTGGGGCATGGGATACTCTGGCTGGCTGGGCCACGGCGACTCGCAGGAGGGACCAGCTGCTGCCGAAGAAGATCGAGGCCTTTGCTGACCAGCGCGTCGTCGCTGTGTCGGCTGACTTCTTCCACATCCGCAGGATCCCGCCAAAGCCTCGCCCTCATCGCCGACGGCGCTGTCTGGAGCTGGGGCTTGGGAGGCTCTGGCCAGCTGGGCCACGGCAACCAGCACCAGCTGCTGCCCAAGAAGGTCGAGGCCTTTGCTGGCCAGCGCGACGTCGCTACCTCGGCTGGAGCCACGAACAGCATCGCCATCACCGCCGACGGCGCCGATTTCACGTGGGGCAATGGCGAAGACGCCTGCCTAGGCCACGGAGAGGACCTGTCGAACCAGCTGCTGCCCAAGAAGATCGAGGCGTGGGGTCTGGGGCAGTGAGCGAAAATTTGATTTGACAATGGCGCGTTGAGAGAGATACTTTTAGCAATACCAAACAACTCTAACACTCATGTGAAACTCTGGCGAGCAGGTTGTTTCTTTTTGAAAGAAAGAAAGAAACAAAACATGGGTTAGTGCCAGTGCGCGCCAGTCCCGTGCCCCGTGTTGTGGGGAGTTTTGTTGTAAAATTCTAATTACCTTGTACCGGTTC